TTGTGACTACAGGGGGCATTTTGTTAATTTTTCTTGTGAGCAGGATAACTTTTGTATGTGTGGATGGAAGTTAATGAAATTTGATAGGCATATTACTGTCATGGTCTCCAAGATTGAGTTCAAAGATGAGAGTCGTGGAGGTCGTTATGTCCCCGTAATAGGACCTTTTGTGTTTAGAAATCCCCCACCTACATCTGCTTGGAGACAGCCGACAGCTGGATATAGCGGGGAACCCCATAATGGGATGGGATCAAATGACGTTACATTGAGGGATTGTACTATAACTTCAGCAGGGGGAGGATAGGTTGGACATATGTCAGGTTATTTTCTACGGCCACACCAAGTAATTGCTATGGATGACGTCCACTGGAGACCTTAAATCTAATTACCTTAAATTTAAGGCAAGCGCGCAATAAAAACACGAAGGGCCGAAAAACGAGATGCCTAGATTTGGAATATACTAACTGTAGAAGTACAAATGTTAGGACACAAAGAACACAAGAAACAAGTTTTCTATTTGTCATAAAGACAAATTAACAAAACAGCAGTAGCCGCCCTGTTCTGATTCTTTCCTTTATAACATCTTCTCTTATTATATTTTGCGGCGCTGTCGTGACACTTTCAACACAGTAAGAATTTCTTGAACGTTTTTTTTCCAGTAACAGTCCAAACTCAAATAACGTAGGGGGGGGGGGCGGTAACACGGGTGACGACGCATCTGTATAATCTGCGGCAAACCGTTTCAGGGTGTTCTGTACCATAAAAATAGTTCAGAGATTCTTTTGTTCTTTAGACCAAATTGATTATTAAAAAGATTGAAGAATACGCATGTTAATTTCTCTAGAACGATGTACCTCTGACGAAGACATGAGATCTCCGACCTCTAGTTCAGCCTATTTTTGCTGCTTTCTACTATCCATAACCCCTTAATGCATAGTGAAATCAAACATACTCCAGACAAATAACAAGAGCCACACGCGATACAAGGTCTCCTCTGTTCTTTTATCCACAGGTTCTCAACGTACAATTCTCCGTAACTTCCAAAGAACCAACCACAAACATTATAACAAACAACACCGAACAAAGGCCTGCATTAAGTCCACATGTCCGACTCACGAGGACAAACACTCGCTCTCGGGACGGATGTTTTCTTAGTACGCTGTAATCTTTAAGGGCAAATTCTGCTGACGGAAGACGTTGCCTCTCTTACAGGTACCCTTGAGAGTTGAACGCCTGTACTTAAGAAGTTAAGACTTGTACAAGATTTCTCAGCACATTGCAACAACACAGGAAGGCTCTGTAGTGTCAGTAGTATGACATCATGACACCGTAGGGCCACACAGAAATGATTCCTTTCTTTTAAAAGCTTTTTAATCCATTCAATACGGTCAAACCTGTACCCTGTACAAGTGACCACCTCTACACATGGACCACTTTTTGGTGGTCTGTTTTCCCACTATTTTCACATTGGCTCAAACATTACAAATCGTGCCTCAATGGCCAATTGTCTACTGCAACCAATTCCCAGGTAGTAGAGTGGTCACTGTGGACAGATTTGACTGTACTAAATAACCAATGGCAAAACAACTGCAAAAGAAAGGCAATTTTCTGAACAAGAAATCAAGTTTGTGTGGCAATTTTTTTTCCTCTGAGACGACATCATATTCCGATTATTTTGTTCTTTAACAGTTAACATATTCTCGTGCCCAATAGTTATTATGTCTCTTACAATGTCTAGTCTGTAACGCATACAAACAAACAAACAAACACAAACTATCCACAACAAAACACTACAAACATCCATCTCTGACGACCAACCATCCCCCCTCCTCTCTCCTCCAGTCTCTACCCCTACATACAAAAAATACATCTCTTCTTCTTCTGTACACATCCGATATGTAGAACACCTTCTGTAAGTCTTGAAGAGCACATCACGACACTCAAAAATGTATTCTTATAACTTTCTCCCTGCTAAGGATGCATTTCAGCACCGATTTGTGCATTGATTATGACAGGAATTAACATGTTATTGTATCCAGAACTGTGCCTATCTAGTTTTATGCTTGAATGGGTTAAGCATGGTGCTAGATAGTTAACCTTCACACTGGTAGGAGTGCATTTCTGCACCGATTTTTGCCTTGGGTTACAATAGAATTTAGCAGGGAGAAAGTTAAATTCTTCCTATTTTCTGCACATTTCGGCTTTTTTCTCTCTTATACATGTACATACAATAATTTCTGTACAGGACGTTATACCAGTATGATGGGCAAGGCCCCATACACTACACTATTACTGCACAATGATATCACAATGTCGATAGTTTTTTTGTACATCAGTGGTCTTGTGTTCTTCAACATGCCTTCATCTACCAGTGAAATAAATAGTTAGAACATTTCTGCATTGCGAGGCATTTTGTACATATATTACAGAAGTGCGAGCATTACCTTAGTACTTTTCAAGCAATAAAATTATAAGTCGATGACAAGGAATGGTCATGTGAGTCTTTGCCACATATTAGCAGTTCAGGATATCATATATCGGCAAAGATCGCTACACATTGCTACTATTCAATCTACACATAAATGTAACATTAATATTAATAGCCAGAAGCAGAAAATATAAGTTCTTTTTCTCTTTTTTTGTTCAAATAAATAATATTATCATTATCA